CATGATTAGCACAGGTAAGCTCGTTAACATATTCATTACCTCACATAGTTACAATTGTGTGTGCTGAGAACACTTAGTATCAACTCTTAGCAAATTTAAAGTGTACAGAACGGCATTCTTAACTGCAGTCACCATGGCGTCCAATACCACATTCTAGTCTCTGCACCTATCCACCAGCATCTCCCCACCCCCGCCCCGGAACCAGCGGACCCCACCGGCAGTGACCGGGCAGTGTTTGTCTTTTGTGACTGACTGACTGACTGACTGACCGCACTGAGCAGAAATGTCTGCCAGCCGAGACCGGTGTGGCTCAGTGGATAGAGCGTCGGCCTGCGGACTGAAGGGTCCCGGGTTCGATTCTGGTCAAGAGCATGTACCTTGGTTGCAGGCACATCCCCAGTGGGGGTTGAGCAGGAGGCAGCTGGTCGGTGTTACTCTCTCATCGATGTTTCTGGCTCTCTGTCCCTCTCCCTTCCTCTCTGTGAAATATCAATAAAATATCTATTTTAAAAAAATAGAAATGCCCTCCAGGTTCATCCATGTTGTCAGGTGGCAGTGTTTCCTTCTTTTAAGGCTGACATTCTCTTTGGGCCCCCCCCCCCCCCCGTGACAGACACGCAGGTTGTTGCCAGGTCCTGGCGGGTGTGAGCAGTGCTGCAGGGAGCGGGCGGCGGCCTCAGCTCAGCTCCTGGTTCTGAGGGAGCCGCGTCCTGCCCTCACTGGGGGCGCCCCGCGGTGAGGCCTCCGGGGGAGACGCCCGCCCGGCAGGTCACAGCCGCTGAGTGTGTGTGTGTGTGTGTGTGTGTGTGTGTGTATGTGTCCCCCCCCCCCCCGCCAGGCGGTGCTGTTTGCAGCTCGGGTCTGTCCGTTCACAGCGATGGCGAGCTCCTGTCACTGTTAACTGTGCGGCCGGAGGGAGCTGTGCGTCCCCGGGCCTCTCTCTCCTCCCCAAACAGGCCGCAGCCCCCGCCGTCTCTGCTGCCGAGGGGCCGGATCCAGCACAGTGATCCCCGGCCTCTGAGAGTGCCCTCCCTGCGCTGTCATCCCCGCCCCTGGGGACAGGCTTTCCCTTCCTCCTCACTGCCCCCTCTCCCCTCACCTCTCTGTAGCTTTCTACCCTAATTCTCCAGAGCCTCTCCTTGTCTGGAATCTCTTTTCTTTGCCCCGGAGAGTCTTGGCTGGCCCAAACCTTCCTCTGGTGGTCATTTATCCGACAACCTCAGCCATCTGAGATAAACCGAGATGCTCCAAAAACCGAAGTGGATTCCGTATAGAAAATGCACTGAGGTTACCTCTGGGCGGGCGGGCGGGCGGGGCCACCCGAGCGTTCTTGTTTTCTGGGTTAAACGGCAGGACGGCAGGCCGTTCGCGTTTAAGACGGGAGGGGCAGCTGGAAGGAGGCGCCCGCAGCCGCGGCCGGTGATGGGGACGAGCTGAGAGGAGGCACCGAGGAGGCACCGGCGGCAGCAGCCACAGGGCAGGGCTGCGCGGTCCCCCGGCGGCTCCGGGGGTGAGAGTCTGGCTCCAGGGCTGCATCCGATGGTCTCGCAGGCCATTCCACTCTGGGCGGGAGAGAGAGAGGACACTTTGCCTTTCCAGCCTTGAAGTTCATGTATATGATAGAGCCATGATCATCAAACTGTGGCTCGTGAGCCACATGCGGCTCTTTGGCCCCTTGAGTGTGGCTCTTCCTCAAATACCAGGCCTGGATGAGTCTACTTTGTTTTTTGTTGTGTTTGTTTGTGTGGGGTTTTTTTTAATATATATATATTTTATTGATTTTATTTACAGAGAGGAAGAGAGAGGGATAGAGAGTTAGAAACATCGATGAGAGAGAAACATTGATCAGCTGCCTCCTGCACACCCCCAGCTGGGGATGTGCCCGCAACCAAGGTACATGCCCTTGACCGGAATCGAACCCGGGACCTTTCAGTCCGCAGGCCGACGCTCTGTCCACTGAGCCAAACCGGTTTCAGCTGGGCGAGTCTATTTTGAAGAAGTGGGTTAGAAGTTTAAGTTTAAAAAAATTGGCTCTCAAAAGGAATTTCAATCATTGTACTGTTGATATTTGGCTCTGTTCACTAATGAGTTTGCCAACCACTGTGGATTATAAATATAGATTTCAAAAATATCTGTGCATATAAAATAAAAGCTCTCTCGTCCACAACAAAACCACAGCTTTAACATGGCCAAAGGACTTGAATAAACATGTCTCCACAGAAGAATGTGAATGGCCGATAAGCACATGAAAAGGAGCTCCCCCCCCCTCCTGAGGGAATGCCAATGGGAACTCAGTAAGATGGCTGCTGTCAGAGAAGGGCTGCACCTGGTGGACCTGGTGGACCTGGTGGACCTGGTGGGACCCGGTGGGACCTGGTGGACCTGGTGGGACCTGGTGGGACCTTGTGGACCCGGTAGACCCGGTGGACCTGGTGGGACCTGGTGGGACTCGGTGGACCCGGTGGACCCGGTGGGACCCGGTGGGACCCGGGGGACCTGGTGGACCCGGGGGACCTGGTGGACCTGGTGGACCTGGTGGACCTGGTGGGACCTGGTGGACCTGGTGGGACCCGGGGGACCCAGTGGACCTGGTGGGACCCGGTGGACCTGGTGGGACCCGGTGGACCTGGTGGGACCTGGTGGGACCTGGTGGGACCTTGTGGACCCGGTGGGACCTGGTGGGACCGGCCGTGGGTGCCAGCGTGGAGGCTCCCGTGGCCCAGAGCCCTGCTGCGCGACCCAGGAGGACGGAGCGGAGGCCCAGGCGGACGGAGTGGAGGCCCAGGCAGGTGTGTGCACGGCCGGTGGGAGGCGGGCGCAGCCCCATGCCCCCGCAGGCGCCTGAGGACACAGTGTCTCAGGAGGGAGCTTGGGCGGCCTCAGCGGGGAGCAAAGCAGACTCGTGCTGCTTGGCTGAGCCTGAGCGCCGAGGGTAAGTGAGGAGCCGCGGTGAGCCAGGCGCTGCGCTGTGGTTTGTGTGAGGCGCACCTGGGAGGCCTCCTCAGACACAGGAAGGACAGTGATGGCGGGGGCGGGGGCGGGGGTGGTTAGTGAGCGTTAGAGTGTCGGTTGTGCAAGATGAAAAGGTTACGGAGATTGGTCACACCGCAGAGTAAATGTGCACTTAAAAATGGCTGAGATGGCCCGGCCGGTGTCCCACTGGCTGCGTTGACCGATGAACCATTTCCCTGTCAGGGCACTTGCCCGGGTCATGGTTCAGTCCCCAGTGGAGGCGTGCAGGAGGCAGCTGATCCGTGGATGTGTCTCTCTCTCCCTCTCCCTTCCTCTCTCAAATCAATAAAAACGTATTTTTAGAAATAAAATAAGTAAACAGTGGGCATTCAATAAACTGGCGTAGGAAAGCTGAATTAAAAAATGGATAAGATGATAAATGTCGTTTGTGTATTTTTACCACAGTTTTCCTAATGCCCAGAACCACTCCAAGAAAGATGAGGAAGTATGTGTGGGAGCGGGGAGGGGCGCCCGCAGCACCGGGGGGCCCGGCCCTGGGTCCGAGCACGTGCAGGGCCTCCAGAGGCCGCCTTGTCGTCGGCACTGAGGCTGCCAGGCTCCGCTCAGGGTCAGCCTGCCCAGCCCTTCGTGTCACTGTGCCCCTGGGCTCCCTCTTGCTAAGGCGACAGCAGGCTTGGGCAGAGGCACTTTTCTAGCGTCACCACGTCCTGTGTGAGCGCGCGGGTGCCCCTGAGGCGGGAGGCGGCGAGTGGGCCAGAGCTCCTCTCGGAGGTGCCAGGCTCAGGCCGGGCCTCGGCTGGGGCGGCAGGTGCTCCGGGCCCTGCAGGACTCGGCGTGGAGCAGACACGGCTCTCACCCCACGGCCTGACCTCGGTACAGTGCCCTCAGTTCCGGGCACTCTGGGCTACTGTTTATTTTCTTTCCAATATTTTTTATTTCCCAATTAAAACCACATTTTGCACTGGTTCTCATTCCACGCTGCTGGTTTGGAGCAGAGCCTCTGGGCTGGGAGCAGTGTTGGGTCTGGGCCAGGACTGCCCTGCGTCCCAGGATGGAGAGCCACAGGGGGCAGCCGGGGGCTTAGCAACCTGCGCTCCGCTCTGCCTGTTGTCTTCTCGTCTGCAAAGCTGGTCTCCTCTGAGATCAGCTCTGGCAGGCAGCTGACCAACCGTGTCCTTAACCCCAGATCTGCATCCTGCCCTGCAAGCTTCCCCGCCTTCCCTCCCCTTATCACTCCCCCAGGCCAGCAGAAGAGGGAAGTTGGGGGCGACTGGACTTATAGGGAAGGGCAGTTGTGGGGGGACCAGGCCTGTAGGGAAGGGCAGTTAGGGATAATCAGGCTGGCAGGGGAGTGGTTAGGGGGTGATCAGGCTGGCAGGGGAGTAGTTAAGGGGTGATCAGGCTGGCAGGCAGAAGCAGTTAGGAGCCATTAGGCAGGCAGGCAGGTGAGCAGTTGGGAGCCAGAAGTCCTGGATTGTGAGAGGGCTGTCGCAGACTGGAGAGGGTGCAGGCTGGGCTGAGGGATACACACCGTGTGTGAATTTCCTGCACGGGGCCTCTAATCATATAACATTGGTCTTGTGGTGATGAGACTCCTTTAGTGTCTTCTTATTCGTCGTGAATAGCTTTGTTGGGTATCTTGGTTGTAGCTCCTTACTATTCATCACTTTGAATATTGGCTGCCACTCCCTTCTGGCCTGCAAAGTTTCTGTTGCGAAATCAGCTGAGAATCATATGGATGTTCCCTTGTAGGTAACTAACTGCTTTTCTCTTAAGATTCTCTCTTTGTCTTTTGCCCTTGGTTTTCATTTTCGTTTCTCTGGGCTTCCTGCGCCTGTAAGTCAATTTCCTTCACCAGGTGGGGGACGTTTTCTGTCATTTCTTCAAGCAGGTTTTCTTTTTCTTTCCTCTCTCTCTCTCTCTCTCTCTCTCTCTCTCTCTCTCTCTCGCGCGCGCTCCCTCTCTCTCTCTCTCTCTCTCTCTCTCTCTCTCTCTCTCTCTCTCTCTCTCTCTCTCTCTCTCTCCCCAAAAATATGGAACACTTCACGAATTTGGGTGTCTTCCTTGGGCAGGGGCCATGCCAGGCTCTGTGTGCTCCAGTCTTAGTGTACGTGCTGCCCACGCGGGCACTTCCCTCGGGCTTTCAGTGTCCGGCTCTCCCCCGCCGGCGCCCATAAGGCCGGTGTTGGCACGCTTGAAGTTGTCTCAGAGGCTCCGTACAGTTTCTTCAAATTTTTGGATTTCTTTTCCTTTTGCTCTTCTGATTGGGTGTTTTTTGCTTCCTCGTGTTCCACATCATTAATTTGATTCTCAGAAGCTTCTACTCTACTGTTGAATCCCTGTAAATTGTTCTTTATTTCAGTCAGTGTATGCTTACTTTCTGGCTCGTCCTTTTTCATGTCTTTGACTTTCTCACCAAGATCCTTGAAAGCTCACTGAGTCCGTTGGAGGTTTCTAGAAGATTCTTGAGTAAACTTATGTGGTTTTGAACTCTGTATCCAGCACTTTGCTTGCTTCCATTCATTTGTGGCATGTTTCTTTGTCTCTGCATGTTGGCTGCTCCCCTGTGTCTGTTTCCACGTATTGGGGAGAGCTGCTGTGCCCTGGAGTTGGTAGAGTGGCCATGTGTACCAGGTGCCCTGTGGGCCCAGTGGCTCAGCCTCCCGGCTCCTGAGCTGGGCTCTAGGGCTCCCCTGTGTGGCCGGTGCACAGTTTGTAGCTGAGCCTTGATTGCTGTTGGCGTCCCCGATTGGCCGTGGGGAGGGCAGTGGGAGAGCCGCTGGGCAGGAGATGAGGCCCAGCCGTGAGGGAAAGCCAGGTCTTCGGCCTTTCACTGGTAGGATTGGGCTGGCTGTCGCAGCTGCAGCCTGTTTGGAGCTGCACATTGGAGGGGTGGGTCTCAGGGAGGCCCCAGGGCAGAGCAAACGGTGTGGGCCACGCTGGTCTCTCTGGAGTCGGCCCTGGGCCGGGGGCGGGCCCAGCACAGAAACAGTGGCCTCTGCGGGCACCCTCGTCTGGAGAAAGCCGTCCGAGTTCCTGCCCGGTGCCAGGCGATCCCCTCCTTCCTGTCCGTGTCTGGGCCCCCGGGCCGCCGTCCGGGAGCTCGGAAGAAGCAGGGGAGCTGGTGCGCTGGCCTCTGGGCCTCCAGCAGCCGCTGTGCCCCTCAGCCCCGATCCCCGCTGGTTTATAACCCAAAGTTACAGGGACTTCCCGCCCCAGCTCTGGAACCCGGGGCTGGGGACTGGGACCCCTTGCTCCCACCAAGCGGGGCTTCCACAGAGACGATTTCCCTTCCAATCACAGACCACAGGCGCCCCCGCCCTCATGTGCTTTCTGCTTTACTTCCTCTCAGGCGGTTCTGAATTATGTGTTTCCGTTGTAATTTTGATGTGTTTGTGAGAGTCAGCGAGTACCTAGGCGTTTACCTAGGCCACCATCTGGTTCTCTGGTTTTGCCAGCTCCCCATTGGTGTGTTTAGATGGAGTGGGAGAGCGGGAGGAAGGGGTGGGGGCTGTGGGCGGAGAGACATGGATTGGTTGTCTCCTGAACGCACCCCAAGGGCGGCCGGGGACTGAACATGCAACCAGGTATGTGTCCTCAATCAGAATCCAACCCCAGACCCTTTGGAGCGCAGGCCAGTGCTCTAACCACTGAGAGACACCAGCCAGGGCTCCCCGACTCCCTTTTTTAAGGCAACTATTCCTTCCCTAACCTATCAGGTTCTGGTGGGACTGTGAGTCCTAGTAACACACACACACACACACACACACACACACACACGTGTACATGACAGCGGGTGAGCCCGTGTGAGGCCTCCGTGGAATCCCTAAGTCAGGGTTAGGTCCTGTGTGACCCCAGGACACCTCTCAGCCGCTCAGACGAAGATCCCCACTCCCCAGCCTCTGGCCGGGGCCAGCTGTCTGCCCCCACCACCTGCTCCTCGTCTGTGGAAGGGAGAGGAGCCGCTCTTCACTGCAAGGCCGTGGGCGGAGCAGGCCCGGCCTGGGCGTTTACCACCGTGTCCGCACCCCTCCCTCCGGTCCCTCCTCTCGGGGACCCGCCAGGCCTGCCTCTAGCCGCCTGCCTCTCCTGGCGCCAGGTCTGCCACGTGCCTGGGCAGGCTGGGAAGTCCAGCGATAAGCCATTAGTGGAAGCCCTGCCTGCCGTGGAGCTCAGAATTAATCTTGCCTTTGCCGTCGTTCACCCGCAGCCGGTGCCGCCCATCTTCTCCTGCTGCTCCTGCTGCTCCTTCCCCCGACGGAGAACGGCCCTCGGCAGCCTGACAGCCCTGAGCCCGGCCGCCCTCCGGCCGGAGTGTGACTGAGGCAGGGGCCCTGCTGCCTTTTCTGTTTGGCTTCCCAATAGCAGCCATCTCAGTGGGTGTGAGGTGGCATTGCATTTCCCTAACTTCCCAGCAGACCGCGGGGGCGCCAATAGCAGGGAAGACAGAGCCGCTGCCTCCGAACCCGAGTGGAAAAGACCATGAAGTTGCCGGTCCTGGTAGAACCGTCTCTGGCCGGGCATCGGCTTCCTGGGGCCCCCGGCTGCTGCCCTGGGGTGTGCCCTGCCCCGGTGCGGCCGCGTGTCACACGGAAGCCGTGTCAGGACTGCGTCTGACCGTGTGCGCGGCGTCTGACCGTGTGCGCGGCGTCTGACCGTGTGCGCGGCGTCTGACCGTGTGCGTCATGTCTGACCGTGTGCGCGATGTCTGACCGAGTGCGCGACGGCGTCTGACCGTGTGCGCGGCGTCTGACCGTGTGCGCGGCGTCTGACCGTGTGCGTCATGTCTGACCGTGTGTGCGCGATGTCTGATCGAGTGCGCGATGTCTGACCGTGTGCGCGGCGTCTGACCGTGTGCGCAGCGTCTGACCGTGTGTGTGCGGCGTCTGACCCTGTGCGCGGCGTCTGACCGTGTGCGTCATGTCTGACCGTGTGCGCGGCGTCTGGCCGTGTGTGTGCGGCGTCTGACCGTGTGCGCGGCGTCTGACCGTGTGCGTCATGTCTGACCGTGTGCGCGATGTCTGACCCTGTGCGCGGCGTCTGACCGTGTGTGTGCGGCGTCTGACCGTGTGCGCGGCGTCTGACCGTGTGCGTCATGTCTGACCGTGTGCGCGGTGTCTGACCGTGTGCGCGATGTCTGACCGTGTGTGCGCGATGTCTGACCGTGTGCGCGATGTCTGACCGAGTGCGCGATGTCTGACCGAGTGCGCGCGGCGTCTGACCGAGTGCGCGACGGCGTCTGACCGTGTGCGCGGCGTCTGGCCGTGTGCGTCATGTCTGACCATGTGCGCGATGTCTGACCGTGTGCGCGGCGTCTGACCGTGTGCGCGGCGTCTGACCATGTGTGTGCGGTGTCTGACCGTGTGTGTGCGGCGTCTGACCGTGTGTGTGCGGCGTCTGACCGTGTGCGCGGTGTCTGGCCGTGTGCGTCGTGTCTGACCGTGTGCTTCATGTCTGACCGTGTGCGCGGCGTCTGACCGTGTGTGTGCGGTGTCTGACCGTGTGCGCGGCGTCTGACCATGTGTGCGCGGTGTCTGACTGTGTGTGTGCGGTGTCTGACCGTGTGCTTCATGTCTGACCGTGTGCGCGGCGTCTGACCGTGTGCGCGTGGCGTCTGACCGTGTGCGCGGCGTCTGACCGTGTGTGTGCGGTGTCTGACCGTGTGCGCGGTGTCTGACCGTGTGTGTGATGTCTGACCGTGTGTGTGCGGTGTCCGTGTGTGTGCGGTGTCTGACCGTGTGTGCGCGGCGTCTGACCGTGTGCGCGGCGTCTGACCGTGTGTGTGCGGCGTCTGACCGTGTGTGTGCGGTGTCTGACCGTGTGTGTGCGGTGTCTGACCGTGTGCGCGGCGTCTGACCGTGTGTGTGATGTCTGACCGTGTGCGGTGTCTCCGGCTTCACCTGAGACCGTCACCTGGGGGTCCCAGGGCCGGTCGTCATTCGTTTGCCCCTGAGTCGCTGCCACACCAGGCGGGGAGGAGGCTGTGAAGCATCAGGCGTCACCGCACTGGGCTGGCGAGGACGTGTGGGTGGTTTTAGGCCGGGGCGGCCGTTGTTAACCTGAGCGTCTGACCTGGCCTCTCGGGGCCGCTGGTCCTCGTGGCCGTCCTGTTCCCATGTCCTCTTACAGGACCTCAATCCCGGAGGGAGGCATCGTTCCTGCTGCAGAGTGCTGGGCACAGCTGGTCTCCACCGGGTCTCTCCCGATGCCCACCGAGATGGAGGAATGGCAGAGGCAGGGGCAGCGGCGGGCGGGCGTGGGCGTTCTCAGCTGCAGGTCCAGGCGCAGCCTGAGGCAGAGTGGCCCTTGGTTAGACTTCATCCTTCGCTGGTTCCCCTTCCGGTTTCCACTCCGCTGCTGCCTCTGGAGGCGTTGGACTGACCCGTCTTGGGGCTTCCTGCCTCTGAATAGGAAGGACCACACGTTTGTCTGTCTGTGGCCGGCTTGTCTCACTCAGCACAATGTCTGTCCGCAAGGCTCATCAGTGCTGAGGCACGTGTCAGAACTTCCTTCTTTTGTGAGGCTGAGTGATGTTCTGTTTTGCAGAACATTTTATTTTTTCATTCAGTTGGTGGTGGACTCTTGGGTTGCTTATACCTCTAGGCTATTGTGGAAAATGCTGCTGTAAACACGGGTGTCGGAATGTCTTTGAGAGACTGCTCTCAGTTCTTTTGGAGATACGCGCAGAGCGGGGCTGCTGGATCGTGTGGTAGTAGTAGTTTTAATTTTTGTTTGCTTTAAAATGTTTTATTTTATTGATAGTATTACAGATGTCCCCCAATTCCCCACCCCCCTTCTCTCCCTCCTCCCAACCCCTGCCCCACCCAGGCCTTCACCAGACTACTTACTGTGTCTCTCGATGATGCATAAATGCATGTGAGTTTTTGGTTCTCTCTTCTCGTCCCCTGCCTCCATTTTTAATTTTTGAGGAACCTCCATATTGTTACACCATTTTAAAATTCCCACCAATTTCTCCATGTACTCACCAACACTTGTTTTTTCTGTTTGTGTTTTCTGATAGTAGCCATCTTAATGGATGTGAGGTGATATTTCATTATGGTTTTGATTTGCATTTTCCTCATGGCTAGGACGTTGAGCATATTTTCATGTACTTATTGGCCATATGTATG